CTGCAAGAACGAAGTTAGGTGTCCTCACCTATCGGAATGCACGTCCACGTCCTCACCTATCGAAGTTAGGTGTCCACCGACCATGAAAGGCCCTCCCACGCCGCCCAACGACCTCGTGCCTAAGGTCTGCGGATGGAGAACGATCTTCCTTCGAACATGGTTGGGAAAGGTTGGAAATTCACAATTTCGATATATATATATATATATATATGTGCTGAGTATATAAAGACTTGCTCTTTCGACCAAGTCACCACCTTTCTGCAGCATTCCTCCAATCCCGCCGAGGGGCCACTGAGGCTGTGCCGCGGCTGTTGTTGAAGTTCCAACTCTTCACAGGAATAGCCCTGGCGCATGGCTCGCTCACAGCGATCTTCCCGGGGACGACAGCCGGGTCACAAAAGCCTGGTGACCCACTTCGTTCGTGGAGAAAAGGGGTGAACTGGTGACTCAACCACCCGCGAAAAAGACCAGGAGTCTGTTGTAACTTTGGATACGATAACAGTTGTGTGAAATCATGTGACCATCAAAAACATTCCTATAGATTCGCATACAATTAGTATCTACATGTCTGGTGAGTAAGCTGTCACGAGTCTTACATCGAGGACCCATGCACCTTGTGGTCCCGCGTGAGCTCGAGGACTGCCCAGCTGGGCATCTCCAGGTCCGCAATGGATTTCTGGCACCAAGACCCAGGGAGAGAGAGATGGTGGTTGATGGCACCGGAGGGACCCAGCGGCGAGCGGAGGCACCTGGAAAGTCGAGCTACATTGCAACATGTGGACTAGGCCTTGGGAGCAGTTGAACAACCCATCCCCACATGGCTGTGGTTCATGGCCGTAACCCACCCGATCGATCCTAAATGAACATAATAGACTACACGGGAAGTCAATCTTCCAGGGAAAACAACGGGCTCCGGGTGTTTGACCCACAGCCATATCCCCCCCTCAAGACTTTTAGGGCTTAATTCTCAAATGGTGTTTGATTTATGGTTTGGCCCACTTTTTGGGGCTTGGGGATTTGAGCTCCGGTCTTTTCGGGGAGCGCAAAGAATCGCACTGTACCGAGCAGCAGGGCTACCCAGTCATCCGCGGGGAGAGAGGTTTTGCAACTAAAAAGGGCATAGGGGGGAGTATCCAGAAGAGACCACGCAGCCCATCGAAATGGGCCTGAAAACGGTGGAAAACCGACGATTTGTTCACGTTGACACGTCGACGGGTCATCAACGGACGATTTGATCTGTGGATAGGACGGCCATCTTTCCAGGAACACGATTTAGGAACGGCGACGATCCATGCAATGTGTTCCAAAAGCTGTTCAGATGCAGTGGTCTGAACTGCTTCAGAGCTCCTCTTTGACAGGTTCTTCAACTTGGAATGCATCGAAAACTCAAATCGAAAAATACCTGGCCCTGGTCGTTCTTCTGTATTGACCGTTCTAGATTCCAATTCAGCTCTGCGGGGCAGGGTCAGCGCTTGGTTGAAAACAATCATAAGCGAGCAAATACTACTATACGTATATATATAATACATGTAATAGATATAGATGACACATATTCATAATGTATAGCGAGAGATGACATGTGCATAATATGTATATATAATACTGTAAGTAATACATATATATATATATACATGTTATTGTAAGTATATGTATATATAAAGACAGATTACAGATATTATATATACACTTACTACTGTAACAAAAAAAATTGCCAGCCTTCTATTCTACTAAACTCTGAGTTTTCTTGCGCTGCGCAGTTTTGGGACATTAACAGGGACAAATCAACTAAAACAATAGAAAGGTCAAAGTGCTATTCGGAAACTAAAAGGTGATCTTCGGACACTTTACGGTTTTCTTCGGAAACTAATGTTCGGAAACTACCAAGAGTCGAAGAGCAACATCAAGCCTGCACGAAAAAGTTTCTGCAGATCGTAAAACAGGCATGTATGCGAAATAGTTTCTGAAGATCGCGAAATAGTTTCTGAAGATCACCAAATAGTTTCTGAAGAATAGTTTCTGAAGAGTAGTTGCTGAAGAGTACTAAATAAGTTTCAGAAGAATGGAGTGTTGCGGAATAGGACTTTGTTCCAATAGAAAAGTGTGCCAACGTCGCAAAACTGCCAAACCTGTGGTGATGTACGACATGTAGAAATGTGTATATTACTACCCTGTAAGGATATGACATACTACATGCCCCTCACTTCTGGTGAGTGTGTGTGTGTGTGCTTTCTTTCTATGGCAACACGGGAAGAACACAAACCGTGACCGGTTCAACCCTGCAAACACATGTGAACAATCCCGCGATACGATTGGAAGCATCCTGAATTTGTGTCACTCTTCCAATTGGACAATCAACAAGCAGGTAGGTGTTTATGTCAAAAACCGCTGTGTCTTAGAATAGTGAGACTCAAGAAAACCCTGCAGGGGTACAATAGAATATCTCCCTCTGGCAAACACACACGCACGCAATGGAGCACGTGGGTATTCATGTACTTTGTCCATCATCAGACAGAGCTACGTGGCCTCAGAGATTGTCAAGATGTCTCAAACCTAAAGGCTTTCCCATCGAACACCATGCAACAAGAAAAGTGAACTGAGACACCAAACCTATCTGTCTATTGAGTCAGGGGCAGAGTCTATAGCGTCTTTGATGTGGTTGTCACAGATGGGCACCCCAGAGTGCCATGGTTCACATCCACCTCGGAGCAGCCGCAGAAGTGGGCGAAGAGCACCCTGCGCCTGGAGCGACGACAAGATGAATGACTCAATGGCCAACAGAATTCACTTCAAAGCATGCAGATGCATGGATACAAGTGACGAATGAATCAGAATGATATAGATATCTCTCAAAACTTTGGCGGCTCCGAGACTTGGAAAGAAGTTTTGTGACTTGACGTGTCCCTGAAAGACAGTGTTGTCCCTTCCATGGCCCCAAGGTCCTGTGCATGCATGCTGTTTTCGAAGAGATATCGCTCTCCCCGCACGCAATCGAATTTCCCATACGGAGTGTCTGGTGGTTTTCGACTTGAGAGTCTCAGTGCCTCAGACCTTTGAAGTCTAGATCTTCCCCTGCTTAGGCACCACCCGCATGTCTTGGAAAAACAGCGGTTTGAAGCAGAAATGCAAGAACCTCACCAACAAGACCGGAAACACGTCCCGCCTTTCCCAAAAACCTGACATACAGTTGATGACCTCCAATGACTTGTATGACTGCCAGCAGGCTTCACCAAAACTGTGCTGGTACTCCACCTTCCACCATGGTCACCTACTGGTTGACACAACCTGTTCTGTGGTGCGTGTTCTGTGCTGCGCGCTCTCCAGGCGCCCCAGCACATCCTCACCGGGGCAAATGACAAGGACTGATCGTGGCAGGCGCTCCAGCAGCAGGAGCACCTGCGCAACAGGTGATTTTTCTCGGCTTTTGGTGGCCATTGACATACTTGACATCACAGCAAAAAGGGAACCACAAAGGCAAGTTGCAGAGGCCTTCATTGCCGTAGAGTTAGGAATTCTTCTAGGTTTGGGACCCCATCTTTGATCTCTTGGATTGCTGTCGAGGTCAGCAGAGGTTTCCAAAGCGCGGGTGGTCTTTTGAACCACCTTTCTGCAGACGTTCCCCTCTCTTCACACTTCACTACTCCGAGTTGGCCCACCAAGTACCTCTCTTGTAGCAACATGGATTTAAGGTATGAACATTGATGGACTTGAAAAAAAAAAAAACGGTGCTTCTCCCGGAGCTTTTCCTACGCATCCGTCTCCCGCCTCCACCCGCATCCGTCTTACCAGGTCTGCATAGCTCTCCGCCGTCGCCGCACCGTCGGCGGCGCCGTCCGCGGAGCGGCCCTGCAGCGCCCGGAGATTCAGCACACAGCGGGGACGGCCACGCGGGGCGCCCGCAGCGACGCCGGAGGCAGAAGGCACAGAAGGCACCTGGCGCAGTTGAAAGTGGCAATAATTGTGAGGAACTGTTCCTTTTTGTGGTATCACTTCGAGATTTGAGGGATGTAACGCGATGCATTTCTTGAACTGTTTCGAGGTTGTAGGAGTTGATGAGAAGAATCAAAATGTTGAACGGAGTCCTGGTACCAAGATTTGATGATTAGACTAGTAAACTTGTGGGTCAGCTCATAATGACATGGGGGTTGCACCAGTAACTTCAGGATATGCAAACTCTTAAGAAGAGACAGAACTTTTGCCTACAAATCCCCGTTCCCGCTTCGCAATTCCCGCTTCGTTGCACCACGGTATGACGAGAGCGGCGAGCTTAAACGGTCCTGACATGAGGAATGATCACAATGCTCTACTGTAATCAATCTACCATAAGTGTACTTTTCCTGATCATTCCTGCTGCAACATGCTCAAGAGAACCCCTGCAAATCACCTAGCCAAATTCCTACAATATAAACACCAGTAGATTCTTGGCTCCATCCAACACCAGAGGAGTCCAAGTTCACCCCAAAACCTCCACTCATTTCACCTCCTGACCCCAAAACCGCCGAAAGCCACGGACCGTGTCTTCGGTGTGACCTTTGAAAGCTCCTGCGCGATCCGCACCGCATGCTTCGAAGCCCCACAGATCACGTCCATGATCCGCCCCTCCTGCGCAGCGGGGCTTCGGGCACCGTCACTTTTAGTTGCAAGTGGGTTGCAGAGGATGTATGATGGAACTGGACATTTTTCAGGGCCCGTAGGGCAGGTGGAGCTGGAAGGAGGGTAACGACAAATCCAAGCCGGTTGGGGTGCTTGGTGTGGTGGAAATCTGAGCCGGTGCAAGGGAAAATGGGATATGATTGAACAACCAAGAAATCGAAGAGCTGCACTGCACTTGCTAAAATCGAAGAGCGGTCTTCAAGTGGAACTTGAAAACAAGCAAACCGTTCAATCCAGCTTCTCTCCTTCTCTTCTTCGTTCTTGAGAATCTCAACGAAGCTCTGCGGAGGCAAACCCTGATGGCACGACGTGTGCGGTGCACGTGCGGTGCAAGCGGTTTGCGCGGGTGTTGGAGAAGAAATCACAGATGTCGATCTGTCCTTGTGTTGTGTGATCTTGTATGAGAAATTCCTGCAAGAGCCGGCATTGTCAACATGGCACCTAAGATACCTAGTGGACAAAATTCGAACAATCCTATATAATACAACAGCCACCCCAGAAACGTGAGACTTCGGAGACGACCGAATACCGCAAAGAAATGGAAAAGCAGCCTCCATGCTTAGGGGATTCCTTCAACGATGAGACACAGAAGTTCAAATGCTCTGTGTGAGAGGCGGCTCATATCTCACCGCTCTGCCAGCCTAGGACGGACCCCGAAAAAGTGCTTGTTTCTTCACCTAATGCAGACCGTTGCATAACAAAGCCCGTCATATGAAGAGTTCACCATCTGCCCAACCATTCCAAGGTCCTGGTGATTCCGCGTGTTTCGCCAACGTGCTGCTTCGCCCCAAAACCCTCCACCGTGCTGTTTCGCCCATCGTCTCCTCGCCTGACCCGCGCTATTGGACTCCGGCGCCAGCAAGATTTGTCGCCTGGGGGGGAAGAAACTGGAACAGTGAGAGAAGTGGGGAAGCTGAAATGAAGGAATTGACATTTCGCAGATTGACATGCCAAGAAGGATCATCGAACTGCGTTCACCTCCACATGCTCAGCTAAACAGTGGCTCGTCGATTCGGTCATTGAACAAAAGAAGGCGCCACTACCGAGGTTCAGCACATCCCCCCTCCCACCGATCAAGGCGAAAACATCTTCCCCGAAATGACACCGCTTGCCTACTTCCTTGTCTAAGATTGAAAGAACCTGTTGACCGTTGTGGCCGTCGTAGGACAATTGGAACCGGGCAACAAGGTTTAGTCGTGGGGGTCGCAACCGAAATCTTGAGCTCGCCATGCTCACCTGGAACCAAGCCAGAATACAAACCTAGGTTTCCAACCCCATTGATTGCATAGGCTCAACCTAACAACATCTAAGAATCCAACAACCATTGTTTTGCTAAGGATTTTACACTACAAAACCAGGTGAACCATTTTTGAAACAGTCTTGGAAGGCTAGGATTTAAGTCCATTTCCGCAAGACCATTGTGCAATTCACCGCCAGGTCGATCCCCACTTCAATCCAGGTCCAGGTAAATCACGCACATCCAAAAAAATATCACCCAGATTTGGACACATTCGCAGTCTGGCAAAAAGATCAAAAAAGAAAACTCTTTTTTGCTGTTGATTATATATATATACATATTATATATATATATATATGTAATTGGATAGATATGTATCACCTTCCAGCCCATTTGGCCCTGTTTTGATAGGAAAGAGCTGTATTCTGGGTGGTTGGTGGTCCAAAATAGAGGTCACTCAATTTCTATCACTTCTAGGACAACACTGACAGTCAACAGTAGCCTGCTGTGATCTCGCAGTGGCTCAAAACCTGGGCTCCTAAACCCTGGTAGGTTCACCTCCTTAGTCGGGTTCATTTTCCGTGATCAACCAAGTTCTCCCAGTTGAAAGACCCAAAGCCATGCAGAAGCATCTGCACACTCACATCGATCCGGTTTCGACCACCTGGTGAGGTGCATCGCGTGCAAGAGGGAGATCAGCGGCGCCGCCACCAGGGAACCTGCAAAGCCGGCGGAACACGTACAGTATACATTTTAGGCTTGGAGGTCTTCATGGAGAATCTTTTCGGTAGCCACCACAGAATTGGCAGGGAAATCATGTCTGTGAGGACCATGCTGACAACCAGGTTATCCTTATGAATTCAACAACTACTAAGCTCACTGATTTGAAGGATTGCCTAAAACCGACACTGCTTCAATGCCTTTTCCGAAAATTTTCTCAGCTATTACTGTACCCAGACAAATGGTCAAGCCAGCCCACTCCGGGGAAAAACAGGGAAGCGACATGCCCAGACTTGCTGAAACATTGAAAAAAGCTTCAACTTGCCATGTTCGCAGCCCAAGAACTCCCAGTTCGACAGCATGTGATCTTTTGCCCTCCGTCGTAGATCCTCAGCAGTCGGACAGGACATGGCACTTCGGCGTCAGAGCGGCATGGGGATGATTGAGATTTTGGGATGTTATATAAGTAAACGAAAAGGAACCACGCCCATGGGTATCTGAACACCACCTTTTCTTTGCTTGAACTGACTATTCAGCTCAGTTTCTGGAGATATACGTACGTACCCACTGGCATGTTCTTTTTCTCCTTTAAACATCGAAAGTCGCACTTCCCCCCGACTGCGCTAAGGTGCGCTTCCGTGGTCGAAATATGTTGTTTCGGATCAAGAAGCTTAGAGGGTCCACTCTATTGGAAAAAAAAGAACGTTGGATCTTGGAGATCCTTCCTCTGCTTTCTTCCCATTCAGCTCCTAGATATCTTTCTCTCACATCCAGCTGCCAGCCAGTTTTTGACCACATAGTTGAAAGGGGAATTGAAAGGGGAACCTTCCCGGCAGATTATGTTTGACTTTTAATGGTCGGCTTTTGGATAGCTTCTTCCATTGTTGTTCAAAACAAGACGGAATGCATGTGCAGAAACCACTCCTTTCATATCATCTCCTCATCTGGCCGAATCTTCCCCCATCAGAGAACCCCACCTCACAATGCTCTTTCGGTCGAGGCTCTGCACGGAGCCCACCGGCATCGCCGCATCGCTGGGCCGGTTCTGCGTGAAGTCCAATTCGCCCTCCTGAACGCGGAGGCCCACCGGGCCCCCGACGGTGACGGCCGGGCGAAGATGGTCGCATGTCACTAGCAGCCTCTTGTTCCGGGGAAAGCGATGCCCTTGTTTCTAATGGCTTCTTGTACTACTAGTAAGGCACTTGTTGCTAGAAGCGATGCACTTGTTCCTAGTAGCTTCTTGTTCCTAGTAGTAATGCCCTAGTAGCGATGCCCTCTTGGAGTTAGTCGCTCCAAAATTTGCGGCATCCAATTTGTGGCATCCAAGTACATGCGGCTGTCTGGTCGTCGATCTGACGCCTGGTATGACCTTCCAAGGAGGCGGTGATTCACCTGCCCAGATCCAGGCCAGGCCGCTGAAACCTCTTCGCTTAACTCCAATCAAAACTCTCCAAAACCCAAGTTCCAAAGGCGGTTTTTGTGCAAAACAGACAAGGACCCTGCAGACCCAGACGATTCCTGGGCCCCCAAGCAGTTGCAACCTGTTCGTTCACTCACGTTGCTCCTGCAAAGGCTCGTACTGTGCCTCATAGGCTTCAACACCTCGCCGCGCCAAGGTTTTTGAAGAGCAGCACAGACTGCTACAGGGGGAACTTCTAGGGGCTCCTGGCCTTACTACTAGGAGCAAGGATGCTACGAACGGGGCTCCGTGGGAACTTGTATTTCTTGTGATTTTCTGCGTATCTTGGCACTGTGGCGGGGATGCGGACGACGTGTGAAGTGTGACCCACTGGGGAGTGGGTCACACATAGGAACCAATTCTATACCAATTCATAGCTCGAAGGGGGTGTCCAAAAACCACCTGTTGGAAGGTGGTAGTTGCTCTTGGTTGAATTTATTACAGGACAGGAAGAATCAGAAACCCCGAAGTCACTGCGTTGCTACCCAGCCCCTCCCATGTGCAATTCCAGGTAGAGTCTAAACCAACCTCTCTTTCCGTAGAAGACGCTGAAACCGCCATGCTCTTTCCGTCAACGCCGAAACCGCCAGCAGTCCACGTTTCTTGAAATCATCCAAGGCGGCGCTGCTTTCGGCACCTGCGCCGGAGCACCGGGGCAGCGCCGCAACTCGTCTCCCCAAACACCGGGGCTTCCGGCACAGCGGCAGTGGATGGGAGACTCGGAGACCCCGAAGACTGGGAGAGACTCGGATGAGCATTGCACAAGGAGCCCCTAGTAGTTTCTTGTTCCTAGTAGCTTCTTGCTCCTAGTAGTACGGCCAGGAGCCCCTAGTAGCGTCCTTGCTCCTAGCAGTACGGCCAGGAGCCCCTAGTAGCTTCTTGTTATGAACATCCATGAAATCCGAAGACCATGACTCGGTGGCGAGCTCCGCTTCCGTGTTCAGTCGGATCTGGATGTCCCTCAAGGGTCTTTCTAGAAACGTGTCACACCTAAGGCCTCTCTGTGTCTCTGTGCAGCAAGAGGGAGGGCCAGCCCCTTCGGATGCCAAGGGCGGGAGAGTAGCCGAAAGTTTTGGGAGCACAAAGGCAGCAAAAAAAGGAACCAAGAGCCTTTGTAGTCGTCATTGCTCAGCTTCATCTGGTAGTTGTCCTGCAATATCCTAGGGAGCAGCATCTCGGTCTACGGACCGATGGCCCGCAGGAATGGAGCAAAACCTTCTTCCGTCCACTCCAAGGAGCGTGATACCGGTGATTTGATCTTCCTCACCTCAAAACCTTTTCTTGCACGAGGTCACATAAGACCAAGAGCTCCCAACTTAGGCTCTGTTCCCACCCTGCGGAACATTCCCCATGTCGCAACCCACACAGCAACGCCCCCACCTCCTCGTGCACCCACCGTGTTCCCACTTCTCCCAGCTACAGTGCGTCCGAAGCACTTGGGATCGCTGCAGAGCGATTCCAGGAAGATCACCCGAAGCGGCGCGGACTGCGCGGGTCGTGAGGGGCGGGTTTTTCTCTCTTCAGTCCAAGCGGGTGAGTTGTGGGATGTGGAGTTCTGGGTTTCAAGTTGGAATGGACTAGCTGGCAGAAGTCTTCGCGTGAGGAGTTGCCAGGATGCCAGTTCGGTTTGGAGGGTCTATGCATTAAGGACACCATTCCACTTGCCCCTTTGAAGTGCACTGGTTAAATAGATCGCAAGTCTATTTTGTTCTCTCTTATTATCATCACCCACATATCTTGGCTAGGCTAGAGCATCAGGAATAAATTTAATAATTGCAACCTTTTCATTTATATCTTCTTGAATTTATTGAGGTTGCAATCTATGTGTCTTAATTTATTCATTAGGTTTACAGAATTCTTTTGATGTGAATTCTCCATCTACAAACAACATGTCATTTATTGGTGATCTTTGGTTGAGTCCCTCTTATTTTTATCAGCTTATTCTATTTTATGGTTCATCTTTCTTGTTTATTTTAATCCTTCTTTAATCATTTGTTGAGGGTTCCCGCCATATTATCATTCATGGACTACCTCTATTTTTGTTGTGCTTTTCAATCTACAGCATTACAGTAATATGGTGTTGTAATCCCTTGAATAAAACCATTATTTATGGTTTAATAAGGCGTTATTCAGAATATATTATTGTTGTTATTTATGGCCTAATATCCAAATATCCACAGGAGAAAGGTATCAACCAAACAACTCATAAACGTTACGCCGTACCAGTAGACCGCAGGAAAAAAATCATACCCACATCGGTGGAACTACAAGAGTCCCCTCCCTCAATCTTCCTTCATCCCATCCGATGTTTGCAGCTACCTCACAGCTGTGAACTCTCCCACCAGACGGGGTTCTTCTCGCCCGACATGGGCCGCTGTGAACTCTCGCCTTTTCATCGTGGTGTGCCTCTTGCGCTGCTGCAAAGCACGTCTCGAGGACTCGTTGCCGACGCAGGAGGGTGGTGTTGGTGGCATCCAAAATGCCGATGGAAGATGTACCTCACCAGGATCGACAGCCGCCCTGCCGATAGGGATCCAGGCCGGGCTTCCGGTAGGGCGCCTGAAGAAGCAAATCTGGGGGAGGTGGCCACCTTCAAAAGGAGAGCCACGGACAACCACAACTTGGTAAAATGCCCCACAACATCACCATCTGCCACAATAGAACGCATCACCCGCATAACATCTTGCCACCACAATGCCCCAAACGCCTCCCGCAAATCCTGCAGGAATCCCCTTTTGAACAATTCGCATCACCGAGGTGAATCCATGTCGCATTGCGTTCCAATGCCTTCCAAAAGCCACTTCCTTCAAAAAGCGAAAGCTCCACTCCGGTGAAAAACCGTCGACCCCTCCGGAACCTTCTGCCGTTGTGTGTGTGTGTGGTAAAACCCTGTAAAACCTTTTCAGGCTTAGGGGAGTTGAAATCAAGTCCCTGAAGTCCACTTAACGATTTTAAACATTATCTGACTAGGTGACCCGAGTTCAGGAATCTCCTTTAGACTTTGGGTGGTACCAAATATAGCCTACATGAACTTCTACGGTGGTAAGTCTACATGAAGGACATGGACCTGGGCTTCTGGATGTGCAGTTCGAGCGTTCCGTAGAAGGTTGCACAGAAACGCTCGGCAGCGCCTGGTGGAGCTGCCTGGATCCACTCCAAGAGCCGCTGACAGCAGAGCATGGCCAAGCGTTCACGCTCCTGATCCGGTCGGAAAAAGAACCATCGACGAGGTCTATCGGACAACTCGGAGGTCGAATCGGAGTTTGGACGACCACACCGCACGGTCCGAGATCCGGAAAGCACCGATGTGAAGAAAGAAGGGCGTACATCGATCGTGAGTCAATGTGTATCAAGATCCAGTGTCACGTAAACTCCATCAGTTGTTTCTGTTCCAGCATGTCCCAGCTCTTTCTTCGGTTTAGCAGGGGTCTGTAAGTGCGCCGCGTTGGCGAAGCGAAGGCGAACCCTGCAGGAAACCCTGAAGAGAATGGAATGAGACTCAAAGAAAATACTAAAATTCCGAATTCTTCTCTCCATTCGACTTGCCTCCTTTCCCTTTGTGGAAACTGCTTCTCTTCTGGTTTTTTCTGGCTGGATGTGGTTAGGGACACCCTCCAGACCCATCAGGCAGCAAAAGATCATGAAATGAAATTGCCACCAGGAGCTGAGATGCATAAGGGTGCACAGGACACGCTACATCCACACATGCTGTTCTGCCATGCTGGAGGGAATGGTTGAAAACATGCAGAAGAACGTGGCATAAGGACGATCACCCACACCGAACCGGCCACGTTTAACGGCAACGAAATGTTGGATTCCTCGGTTTCAGCTTTTAGGCGTTGGAATCGGTCAAGAAGAAACAAGGAAATCCGCCGGCCCTTGGGCGCGGCTTGTTTTAGGTGATTGGTTTGTATGCTATCCTAGTAGTAGTTTTGTTTCTAGTCTAATTGTACCCACGGCGCGGATTTTTGACAAGTCTAACTTTCCCCCCCCTCCCCCCCCTCCCCAAAAGGGCCGGCGGAACAACCCGCAAGGTAAATACAGTAGAAAAAACAAAACAAGATGAAACCAACGAACCCGAATGCAAACACGTTCGAAAAGCTACATATGTCCAAATAACACTCTTGAAGGACACTCTTGTGGGACACTCTTGTGGGTCACTCTTGTAGGAAACTCTTGTGGGTCACTCTTACGGGCCACTCTTATGGGACACTCTTGTGGGACACTCATACGGGACACTCTTGTAGGACAATTTTGTGGGACACTCTTGTAGGACACTTGTGGGACACTCTTACGGGACACTCTTGTCGCACACTCTTGTAGGACACACTTGTGGTCACTCTTATGGGACACACTTGTCGGACACTCTGTGAGACACTCTTGTAGGACACTCTTGTAGGACACTCTTGTGGGTCACTCTTGTAGGACACTCTTGTGGGACACACTTGTGAGACACTCTTGTGGGACACTCTTGTGGGACACTCATACGGGACACTCTTGTGGGACACTCTTGTAGGAAACTCTTGTGGGGTACTCTTGTAGGACACTCTTGTGGGACACTGTTGCGGGACACTCTTGCGGGACACTCTTAAGGGACACTCTTGTGAGACACTCTTGTGGGACACTGTTGCGGGACACTCTTGCGGGACACTCTTGTGGGACACTCATGCGGGACACTCTTGTGGGACACTCTTGTGGGACACTCTTGTAGGACACTCTTGTGGGACACTCTTGCGACACTCTTGTGGGACACTCTTGTAGGAAACTCTTGTGGGGTACTCTTGTAGGACACTCTTGTGGGACACTCTTGTAGAGCACTCTTGTGGGACACTCTTGTAGGACACTCTTGTGGGACACTGTTGCGCGACACTCTTGCGGGACACTCTTAAGGGACACTCTTGTGGGACACTCTTGTGGGACACTGTTGCGGGACACTCTTGCGGGACACTCTTGTGGGACACTCTCACGGGACACTCTTGTAGGACACTCTTGTGGGACACTCTTGTAGGACACTCTTGTGGGACACTCTTACGGGACACTCTTGTAGGACACTCTTGTGGGTCACTCTTGTGGGACACTCTTGTCGGACACTCTTGTGGGACACACTTGTGAGACACTCTTGTGGGACACTCTTGTGGGACACTCTTGTAGGACACATTTGTGGGCACTCTTGTGGGACACTCTTGTGGGACACTCTTACGGGACACTCTTGTGGGACACTCTTGTGGGACACTCCAGTAGGAAACTCTCGTGGGACACTCTTGTGGGACACTCCAGTAGGAAACTCTTGTGGGACACTCATACGGGACACTCTTGTAGGACAATTTTGTGGGACACTCTTGTAGGACACTTGTGGGACACTCTTACGGGACACTCTTGTCGCACACTCTTGTAGGACACACTTGTGGTCACTCTTATGGGACACACTTGTTGGACACTCTGTGAGACACTCTTGTAGGACACTCTTGTAGGACACTCTTGTGGGTCACTCTTACAGGACACTCTTGTAGGACACTCTCGTAGGACACTCTTGTGGGACACTCTTGTGGGGCACTCTTGTGGGACACTCTTGTAGGAAACTCTTGTGGGACACTCTAGAAGGACACTCTTGTGGGACACTCTTGTAGGTTAGAGCCGGATTCGGAAACTAATCGATCGGATTCGGAAACTAGGGTTCTGAAACTTGGATTCTGAAACTGGTATTCTGAAACTGGGGTTCTGACACTAGGATTCTGAAACTGGGGTTCTGAAACTAGGATTCTGAAACTGGGATTCTGAAACTTGTATTCTGAAACTGGAAAGTCAGATTCTGCAACTGGTATTTTGAAACTGGAAAGTCAGATTCTGCAACTTGCCTTCTGAAACTTGCAACTGGTGGTCTCCACATCATGCGATAGCGTGTGCCTGTGACATCACCTTCGAAGCACATCCAAACCAACGTCATTAGCCCCCCACCCAACCCCTCCACCCCCCAACCCCCCCTTGTCCCCATCGTGTGATGTCGACATCCCTCATCACTCACAAAGTTGCGGAATCCTAGTGAGGGAGTCCACAATGTTGCGGAATCCTAGTCGCGGAACGCCAGTTGCGGAATCCCAGTTGCAGAATCCTAGTTGCGGAGTCCTAGTTTCGGATTCCTAGTTGCGGAATCCTAGTTGCGGAATTCTAGTTGCGGAATCCTAGTTGCGGAATCCTAGTTTCGGAATCCCAGTTGCGGAATCCCAGTTGCGGAATCCGACCAAACAGTTGCGGAATCCTACTTGCGGAATCCTGCGCAGTTGCGGAACTCGACTTTATCCCACTCTTGTAGGCCACTCTTGTGGGACACTCTTGTGGGACACTCTTGTGGGACACTCTTGTAGGAAACTCTTGTGGGACACTCTTGTAGGACACTCTTGTGGGACACTCTTATAGGACACTCTTGTGGGACACTCTTGTGGGACACTCTTGTGAGGCACTCTTGTGGGACACTGTTGCGGGACACTCTTGTGAGACACTCTTGTGGGACACTCTTACGTGACACTCTTGTAGGACGCTCTTGTGGGACAGTCTTGTAGGACACTCTTGTGGAACACTCTTACGGGACACTCTTGTAGCACACTCTTGTAGGACACTCTTGTGGGACACACTTGTGAGACACTCTTGTGGGACACTCTTATGGGGCTCATACGGGACACTCTTGTAGGGCACTCTTCGTACGAGACTTCCTCCAAAAGTCACACGTCAAGTCTCCAAAACGAGCGTTTCGTACGAGACTTCCCCCAAACGTCACACGTCAAGTCTCCAAAACGAGCGTTTCGTACGAGACTTCCTCCAAAAATCACATGTCAAGTCTCACACACAGCTTGCGGTCCACGATCCGCCCCTCACAGCCCTTCCACTAAGTGGGGTGCTAGAGGGCATGACTATATCACAGAATCCCAAGTGAAAAGACACGTGCGCCGCAAAACTCCCTGAACTGGTTTAAGACACAGATCAAGAGAAAAAGCGAATTAACGGCTACCGGAAGCTAGGGGAAGCTACTCAGTCAACAACCAATTCATCAAGCGACTTCTTGAGGCGAATGTTTTTGCGAACTCTCTGATAGAGATTATGTCGAGCAGAAAAAGTAGGTTCAGATGGTAGATCTGGAAAGTGCTGTGCGAAGTCACGGCACACTGGAAATGGCAATCGGACATTGAGAGGATATGGCTGGTCCGGTAAGGCCGAGTATTCCGTGATCATCTTCATGGCCACATCAGAATGAGGCAATTCAGGGCGGGCGGCCATGCCACCTACTAATGTGCGATGGAAGCCCAAACGAACAAGCGAGGAAGCACAGGTTTTCTTATACCGTGGAAAGAGTTGGCACTGCATCGTACCTTCTAGATACCTCACGATGCCCCGTAACGTGGAAGCCTGATGGCACAGAGCATGGGCAGATTTTGGCTGAATTTGAGCTTCAGGAGAGTCGAACTCATATGGTCTATGGAGTTTGATCGTTGGATCATATACCCAAATCGGGAGGCCTTTACCTGCGAATATAATGAAATGGATCGCGAGTTCAATCCATGTAATACCGAAATCCCCGGGGGTGTTTGGAACATCCGGATGTCTCCATTTAAGTGACAAGAAGAAATGCCATACCATATGGGCAATCTGTGCACCGGCATTACAGGCCTTGGCGACCACTGGCACTAATGTGAGTGTAACTTGCCACGGCGGCGAAGTCAGTGTCCAATGCGACAGCTTATGTCGGAAAGTCTGAAGAGCATCTACATTATTAAATTGATGATTTTCTGCGGCACCGTCCGGTTCAGAGAGTTGTAGAGATACGTGTAGGTGATTCAAATCGGCTAAGTAGGTGTATATGAGAAAAAGGAGATGCATCTGGCACTGACTATGTTCGTAAATATGGGACACTGCATTTTGCATAGCATCCATATCCTGGTTGTTTAAAAGCTTGGCCGCCTCATCGGCGAGATCGTTTCCAATAATACCATACAAGTCTTGCAGACACGTGGCATCAGATTTAGAGCGATGAGACTGAACTTTATGAATTTGGTAAAGGTTTGGATGCCATGAATCTTTAAGACTGCATATCAGGTCATAATGTGCCATGTGGAAATCACGTGGCTTCAGGGTCCGGGACGCAATAGCCTGAATGATGCGGACCACAAAAGCAGAGTCGGTATACACGTCCACAGGACGATCTGGAA